ACCACAATAGTTATACTACCGCAAATCATGCTACCACAATTAGCGCTACCACAATTGTTGCTACCACAATTGACAAGTTGATGCTACCAGAACTGATGCTACCAGAATTGATGCCACTGCAAAATCGAATCAACCAAGCCAAGCAATGCCATGCTGACTACCACAGTTGCTGCTACCAGAACTGATGGTATCAGAATTGATGCCACCGCAAAATCGAATCAGATGCCACCGCAACAATCGAAGCAATCAAGCCATGCAATGCCATGCTGACTACCACCATTGACATTGATTGATGCTACCAGAATTGATGCCACTGCAGCATCGAATCAACCAAGCCAAGCAATGCCATGCTGACTACCACAATTGATTGATGCTACCAGAATTGATGCCACTGCAGAATCGAATCAACCAAGCCAAGCAATGCCATGCCGACACAGTAACGGCCTCCCCAGCGTCTTTGCAAACACGAGTGTGCTCTGACAGTCATGCGGACTGGAGACTTCTTTAAATGCCACCCCCATTCGGCCAAGATGGGGTCACCCTGCTGAGTATGCGCCGTCTTTGCCCTATGCGGAGCGCTGAAATCCGATTGCCTTGCATACCGGCCCGCAAGAGGACAGGTCATGCTCGTCATCGAGTGCACCGGAATCGCTGCGCAACGCGCCGGTTACTGAAGACCTGTCAATGAGGCACAGCATAAGATGCCATGCGGGGCCATGCCGGCAAGCAGCAGTGATCGAAGTTAATACTTCGACCGTGGTGTGGGTACGTGGCATAGTATTTATTAATAGTAGCGAGGCCTTCCCTGCAATCTGTGTGCATTTCACCCCGCGGCGGACACACCACCTGGCTGGACAGGCGAGCAGCACACAGAGTAAATCCCCAGCGCCCGGCCAGCGACGCTGTCCCGCACGGATCAAGGACCCATTGCTCACGTGGTCCGAGCCCGACTGGAGCGGTCTCTAAGACCACTCTGAGCTTGGGCGTGCAGGATGGGTAGGGCGAGTCGAACCAAGCCAAGCAAGCCAAGCAAGCCAAGCAAGCCAACCAAGCAACCAAGCCAACCAAGCAGTGGCACGTGACAAAGGACCACGTTTCAGCTTCCAACACATCCGGCTTGGACAGAAGCGAACACCATCGCTCAATACATCCGGCTTGGACAAATGCAAAAATGTTTGGCAAAAAAGGGTTTCCTCACGCTGGCTTCCCAGTGTGCTTTAAAATGTTTTGGTCAACGGCCGTGCCCCCGGCACTGAAATTCCTAATAAAATACATAAATAAGCTAATACTACAACAGCTTGAAACCTTAAATCGGTATATTGAACTGCACTATTGAGGAAATTGGTTTTGGCCTTCAAACCCCCCTGATCCAGCCCCCAAGGATCCAACCCTCAAAACGAGTGTGTGGATTTAAAGTGGCCTTGTATGTTTTCCAAGTGAGTGGATACTGAGTTTGATGTTTTGTTTGAAGCATTTTGCTCATTTTATTGGTTTTGTAGCCATGGCTCGCACGGCGCACGCTCTGGCCAATTGGTCTGGTGGACGCGTGTCCATAGACCCTGCAGGCTGCGGGAAGAAGAGTCCGGTAGAGCCTTCGAAGCTTCATCTCTTATCAGACGAATTTTCGAGGCCTTCAACCAGACTTTGTACCATCATTGACCAGTTGAATGATGCCATTGTGGTTGGAGGCTGCAGCGGATGTTGAGTTGGACGAGTCCACTGGTCGGGCGCAAGGAATTGTCTGGCTCAGGTACTTAGCAGTCGCACGGCGTGATCCATTTTGCTGCCAGCGGCGTGTTTACCGTACCCGTGAAATCGGCTACTGGGGACTGGGGGGGGGGGGATAATAACGACATGGTTGACCGTAAGCAGTAACGGGGGGGGGGAGGGGGGCTAATAACGACATGGTTGACCGTAAGCAGTAACACAGTAGCGCCGGTAGCAGTAGCAGTGGTAGGATGCTTGTAACAACGTGTCTTGCTCCACATTCTTGTGCAGCATGTACAAAAAGCCAAACATGCTGTAAATACCAGTGTTTTGGGCATGACCGCCAAAGGCAATCACATGAACATTAACCTGACCATCTTCAGCATAACCATCATCTTCGCCATCTTCAACATCATCGTTAACTGCATCACCGGCCTTATGTTGATGATGACGACGATTATGAGGATGATGATAGGGATGATGACTATGAGGATGATGATGAAGATGATCAGGTAAACGATGATGCTAAGCATGGCGAGGATGAAGATGATGATGAAGATGGTCAGGTTGATGTTCATGTCACTGCCTTTGGCGATCATGCCCAAAACGCTGGTATTTAACAGCATTTTGGGCTCTTGGTACAACATGCTGCGCAAGGATGTGGAGCAAGACACGTTGTCACAACACACGCGCGTAAACCTTTTCGAGCAACGCCTCCCACACAAAACGCAAAACAGCCTTGTCATTTGCGCACTTCCAAAATACACTGAAATAAGCACGCCACCACAGCGGCAGCTGCGTTTTTCAATATTTAGGGGTACGGTAAACACGGTGGCGGGATTTTGCTGAAGCGCTTGGACGACCACATTGTTCGGAAGGGCCAAGGTGGGCGGCTCCATTTCTGTCGAAAACGTATCAGTGATGATCGAGTCCACTGAACGATGGAACTTTCGTCGATGCTGCTGCTCTTACACACGTGTGTGAAGCATAAACCGCCCCACCCAGAACTTTCCAAAATGCGTGTCCAGGTGTGGGTTGGAGACCACTACCAGGAGCAGCTAAGAGTTGGAGGGACCCAGGAAATAGCTTGGTTTTTCGCGAGTTTCCGAGGTGTTGTTGGAAGACGCCTATTCAACACTGTAGGCTCTTCCTCTGAAGAGAAGGCGCCCCGAGCAGCTAATGCATTTCCATGTACGACTGTTCCAGCTGAAGCACTGGTTTGGAGACCAAGATATGTTTGCTGGTTTTGGAAAGCTTCGACAGTCTCAAAGAGACGTTGGGGCAGTGATTTCGGCATCCACGTCAAGCCGCCTCTCGTAAACCCGGAGCCTGTACAGCACAATCCGGTAGTTTTCCGTGACGGAGTGCAAGTCCTTGACCGTGGGAAGGAGTAGGAGACACTTAAGCCCTAACCCGAAACCCGAAAGCCGCTGACTTCCTTTAATTTAATATAGTCCGTCGCGCGAATCGCCGCGCCCGGCAACTGTTTCACCTTTTCTTGATTTTTTCAGCTGCTTGTGGACAGAGTGCGGCAGCCGCCGTCAACGAGGCCTGCACACGCCAAAAGAGTTGCTTGTGCCATGCGTCCCAACATCTGCAAACACGAGTTCTCGAGTTGCACGGAGGGCTCGAGCAACGAGGTTACGCCAAGTGAGCCGTCACACCCGCCGCATGTGAGCTACAACCACGAAAAAGCAAGATATTTCTGAAATTCAACATTTCAAGATTTTGTTGTCAACTGTTGCCCACGCTATACGCTTCAACATCCACACGAGTTTCAGAAAAATTTCTCTGCGCCCAGCGGTGCTGTTAAACTCAGGAGGTGAACCTACTGTCGCACTCCAAAATGGGGGTCGCCCGAGGGGCAGCGCGCAGGATTCAAACGGGGCGATGCATTGAATTGGTTTAATTGTTTTCATTCAGATTTACATCGAGTTTCAACTCCGAACTTTCCCCGTCATTCCTGGTGCTTGCACGAAGCATTTTTGTTTTTCGTGGGCGCACCCTTCTACAGCCATGTAGAGTTCCAGGAACCCGTTTTCAATGTTGAGACACGTGAGAGTTCCTGCATAGTATGTCAAGCTACGAAGCTGTTTGGCGAATGCCACATAGAAGCGGCACAACATCCGCATAGAACAAAGTTTCAGTGTGGAGTGACATGTGGTAAGGAAAGACCGTGTACCATCACAAACGCGACGACAAATCAGGCATGCTTTTGCCAATCGAAAGAAAGGATTGCTCCAGTTTTTTGGATAATTTTCATTGCATTGGCGGAAATTTTTTGTTCAAGGGAGCTTCCTGCCCTTCGTGGACTGAGCTCACGCTGAAGGCACCTCGTTGGTGCATGCAGACATAAAGGCCTTCGGCAAGCCCTTTGTGCTTAAACCGTTCTCAGCGTTGGCATTCAACCCTAAACCCTTACAATTCAGTTGAAAACCGAAACCCTTCAGTATTCAGTTTAAACGGTTTTGAGCAGAAGTCGTGTTGATTGGTTTAAGCCCTAAACCCTACGTTCGCCAGGCTTGGGCTTCGGTTCGCCGACATGAAAGCGGCCGGTCCTCTCAGCCCGCAAAGCGGTGTTTCGAGTCTGAACTTCAGTTTGGGGTTTGGGGTGTAGGGTTTAGGGTTTGGAGTTTAGGGTTTGGGGTTTAGGGTATAGAGTTTTTAAGGTTCTGGGGAAAAGTTTTTTCGAATTGGGTTGACACGACCTAGTCAAGCAACCCAGACCGTAAGCCCAGAGCCCTCAATGTGAATTCTGAAATCCTGAAGCTTGTTCAGCCCACGCCCGAACCGTAAGTTGAATCCCCAGCCCAAAGTTTAAGCCCAAAACTTCGACATTTTGGATTCTGAAGCCGCAAATGCCCTGAAACCCTAAACGCCGAAAACACACAAAGCGTTGAAACGCGACACCCGACGCCCTAAGGCCGCAAAACTCTCGAACATGAAAATCTTACGGTTGATGATATATATCTTGCATGACCTTAATAATCCTAAACTCTGGTATATTCCTTAGATACAGCCCCACGCCACTTGCAGGCTAAAGCACGAAGCAAGCTTTTGGCCTTGGCCAAAGTCGCAGAGAAGAAGACGCTGGGTGTTCGTTAAGAAGCTTCAGTTTTCAAAGCATGGATCTTCACATGTATAGAGAAAAGAGTTATGCCTGTGTAATCCTGTGTATATGTATGTATGTGTACACACACCAAAGCATAAATATGTGTCAATTGAACTTATGGTGTAGATACTATGGTTTACTACGATGGAGCTTGAGCTACGCCCCAAACCAAGAGCCAAGGATGTGCCAGCAGACTTTTGCCGTGCTGTGTGTTGACGAAGGCAGTTGGCCGCATGATATCATGAAGATCGACACGGGGGCAGGATGCAAGATCATGTCCAGGTGCACAGGGATCGCTCAAGCCAAAACTCCAAACACCGAAACCCGAATCTTGAAACCTAAACACTACTGTAGCCCCCCAAGATCCTAAAGCCTTCGCCTTGAAGATTGCAGGTGCAAAGGGCTCACTCGAGCGTGCTTGATGGCCGACCACCTGGACAAGGAAGCCTTGCAATCCATTCGCGACTGCTTCGATCGGCTCGTGACCTTCATGGAATGCGCCGACAGGATCCTGGGCGGAACCCTTAAAGAGAGCCCGAGAAGCAAACCGTAGAGGAACCCTTAAAGGAACCCTTCGTACGTTGGGGCTCCTTTGAGGGATCCTGGGTTCTTGTTAAGGGAACTTGCCTTAAGTGGAAGCGGAAGCCCCAACACTTGCACTATGTGTCTTCTTTAGGTTGCCCTCAAAAATGGCCCAACCCCCTTCAGTATTTCCCATGTATCCCTTTTGTTTCCCCGCCAAAAAGGAACCCAAAGGATAACCCTCAGCCCTAAAGCAGGATCACTGGGGTCACAGCCGACCTTGGGAACCTGTGGCTGAAGCACCACTCCGCGGTTCGGAGCGTGATCACGGAGCGACCCGTCTACCTGACGCCTATCATCCAGCCTCCTTGGCTTCGGAACTTAGGGTCCAGGGCTCATAGGGTTTATAGTGTTGAAAGGGGTTACAGGGTTTATAGGGCTTGTAACGGCCTGTAGGGTTTATGGGGTTTAGGGTTTAGGGATTAGGGTAAGCTTAGGGAAGTTAGGGCTTAGGGTGAATGTGCCGAAGTTGTCACAATGGGTCATAGGCGACTAGTTGGTTTCCTTATTATGCTACTCCCTAAACTCCTAAACCCTAAACCCCTAAACCCTAAACCCTAACTTAAGTCAAGCTCTTCTTCAAGAGCCCAGGTTGCCCATGATCTCCGCGGCTTTCAAGAGTTGCGAGCAGGTCTTGCTTATCACCTGGGGCTCCCAAGAGCAGGTGAAGACTTTAAAGCCGAGCTTTATCGCCGGCTGCAACATCAAGATGGACTCTTCGTAGTAGAGTAGGCAACCTGTAACCTCTTTTTGGGGTGGTCTAATTCCCTAAAGCCCGAAGGCTAGGCCTCAGTTTTCTTGGTAGGATGCCGGAGAAGTAAGGACTTGGACCGCCTTGATATTCTGGGTGTGGATGCTTCGCAGGACTTTCGTGGGACCCCAAAAGAACATAAGCCTAAGCATTTTATAGGGATATCCTTGCCTTTTTTATTGGGCTTCATTATAGGGGGATTTATATGGGAGTTTCCGAAGATAGGGGACCCTAATATAGTACCCCTTCATAGTAGGATCCTTATTATAAGGACCCCAAGACAAGGGACCCCCCTAATTTTCGGAAACTCCCGTATGGGATAATCCCCTACCCTAAACCCTAAACCCTAAACCCTAAACCCTAAATCCTAAACCCTAAACCGTAGGACTCTCGTTGGACGCGGTACTTGAACTTCGACACGGACGCGGCGGAGGATGAGGCGCTCGGTGCTTCGCTAGTGAAGATGGTCCAGGAGCGCATCGCGGAGGTGAACGTGGAGGGGAAGAAGGACATGCTTATCAAGAGTATCTTAGCAGATGAGTGGATACACTTTACACTTTTTGGGATAATGCAACCTGCTATAAAACTGAAAGTGTAGACTTTTTGGGGCTTATGAACTCGGCAACTAAGGTATCATCGTGACGACCCGGCTGAGCATCTTCAGCGGCTTGCTAAGGCAAGCAACGGATCTCCCCGTCTTCAACGAGCTGACGATGCTGGATCTCTTTGCTTCTGCATCGGGGCTGAGCCACTACAACGACGCCACTTAGGGGTACTTAGAAATAATCTTTAATCTTTGGTTATTATATTCCTTAAGAAACAGCTAAAATTATAATTTTTGCTAGGGTTCTAAGTTCAGTATAGGCCAAAGTCTTGTGTCGTTTGGACGAGAAGCTCGGCCGATCTCCACGATCACCGACACCAGCATCGCCTACGGACAGTCGTGTAGGCTGCAAACTGGGGCTCCTCCAGTTGGAGTACGAGTATCCTCCAGCTTTCGGAGACATTGATCACCCAGGCACCTTTGGCTTCAAGACCTGCCCGCGTGTGGTGAAGGGGCTGACGTTCCAGAAAGCCCAGGAAGGATCCTTCGATACGGACATCCTTGAAAACATGACTTCAGAAATCAGGCAGCTGGAGCAGGAGGGGGTGGTTGGCATTACAGGCAACTGTGGCTTCATGATGCATTATCAATGCTTCGCGCGCTACGTGTCGCCGGTTCCTGTGTTTATGAGTGCACTGATCCAGGCAGCAACGATGGCTGCCGCCATGGAGCCGGCAGAAAGGGTGCTTATCCTGACCGCCAATGCAGAGAGCTTGCAGCCTGGTAAGGACAAGCTGCTTCTTGAGAGTGGCATTGAAGTGACGAACTCGGAGAAGTTTGTCATTCGAGGCTGTGAGAATCTTCCTGGTTTCGAGGCTGTAGCCAATGCAGAGAGAGTGGATACCATCCGTGTTCAGAATGCGATCAGTGCCTATGTCCTGGAGATCTTGAAAGAGGAAAGCAACAGAGAGGGCTATGGTGCTATCAAGATGGTCTTGTTGGAATGCACAGAACTCCCACACTATGCAGATGAGCTCCGGCGCATCACCGGCTTGCCGGTCTTCGATGCCGTGACCTTTTTTGAATAGTTGGGTAAGACTTTACATGTTTATGGCTACTTAAACCCACTAAGGAATAAAGATGTACATGTCTAATTTAATCCTATCCCAACCGTGGACTAGGTGACCTGTGTGAATTACTTCTTCTACGCGACAGCCGCGCAGAACTGGAACACGGAGACTTTCACTCCGCACAACTTGTCCTTCTGGACAAAAAACTTTGACGAGGAGGGACGGGTGCGTGCGGGCGGCATATGCAGCGGTGACGGCTGCACGCGGTGACAGCTGCTGAGGGCTGAGGGTCTCGGTTTTAGTACTATGCACGCCGAGCTGACAAGCCATAATTAGCATGCTCAGTGGCGACTTTGGTCAAAGACCAGGGATTTGCGATGCCTGGTAACTGGTATTGAGATCCTGTATCAGGCTGGAGTGGTGTACACGTCCTTCCCTGGATGGAGCATCCACTCCCCAAAGCACTCAACCGGAGCCTTCGCGCGGCTTGCGCAAGGACGGGGAGAAATGCGGCCCTCACAAGCAACATTCGTCGTCATCACCGCCACATTGTTATCATCGTCATCATCATCATCACGATCACGGGTAGGTGTTGTTTTCTTCTTGTTCCGCTCTTTTTGTAAATGTTGTCTTGATCTGTTTGGCTGGCTTCCAAACGGTCACACGAGGATACTGCCTGTGGTCCCCTAACTCCTGTGCAACCCACACCATCCTAACTCGCCATCCTTTCTACTTGGAGGTTCATGGGTAGTTATAATCGATTACTTGGGGTTACAAGTCCCTTAATATGGGTCATAAGTGTAGTTATCCTACTTATAACCCTACTTATAACTACCCATGAAGCTCCAAGTATCCATTCATACACAAATAAGCATGCCAAGTATTTCCTGTAATCTGGGCACTGATGCACCGTCACGCAGAGCATTGCTTTTGATCCTCTTACTACCACACCAGACTGTCCAAAAGCAAATGACCTATAACTCTTTCCTCTCATGTACTCTACACCATCCGAAAACGAATAATCGTAGTAAGTATTGCCTAGACCCCTTTTGCTATGCATCCAAACACGAATAAGCATGCTAAGTACTGCTCATAACTTCGTTTAATACTACACCAAGCAATGCAAGCAGAGAGTATTTAAGCGAAGCATTGCTCATAATCATTTCCTGCCATGCAATCCACACCATCCAAGCAGACTAGTCGTACTAAGTATTGCCTACAACCCTATTCTGCTATCTATCCATCCAAACACGACCAAACATGCTAAGTATTGCCTGTAACCTCTTCAAGTACTACACCAAGCAATCCAAGCACAATGATCATGCAAAGCATTGCTGATAATCCTCTTGCTACTACACCAAGCCGTCCAAATTCAAACAATCTTGCTAAGTACTGCCTCTATCTTTTTACTCCTGTGGAATCCACGCCATCCAAAAAAATAATCTTACTCAGTATTGCCTACAATTGACCGTAACTTTTTTAACTACTACACCAAGCAGTCCAAGCACACAGTAATCACGCAAAGCATTGCTCATAATCCTCTTGCTACTACACCAAGCCGTCCAAATGCAAATGATCTCATTAATCACTGCCTGTATCCTTTTACTCCCATGGCAACCACGCCATCCAAACACGAATAATCATATGTAGCATTGCCTACAGTCTTCTTGCTATCCATGCAAGCGAATAACCATGCTCAGTATGGCTTGTAAGTCTGTTACTGCTGCACCAAGCAACCGAAGTACACGATAATCACACACAGTATTGCTTGTCCCCGATTGGTCCTATGCAATCCTCACCATCCAAACACGAATAATCATACTAAGTATTGCCGGTAATCCTTTTACCATCCATCGAAACATGAACAAGCATGCTAACTATTGCCCAAAGGCTTTGTACTACAGCACCAAGCAGTCCAAGCAGAAAGCAATCACAAAAGACATTGCCTATACCCGCTTTACTCCTCTGCAGCGTGCACCATCCAAACTCGAATGATCATATTAAGTATTGCCAATATAATCCTCTTACTAGCCATCGAAACACGAATATGCATGCTAAGTATTACCCATACTCGTTTTACTACTACACCAAGCAATCCAAGCACAACACAATCACACAAAGCATGGCTTGGAATCGTCTTGCCACTACACCAAAACGTCCAGATGCAAATGATGGTACTAAGTACTGCCTATAACCTTTTGCTCCCATGCAATCCACACCATCCAAACACTAATAATCATACTGAGTATTGCTTGTAATCCTTCTACTATCCATCGAAACACGAACAAGCATGCTAGTTGTTGCCCATGATCTGTTAAACCCTTCTTTACTCCTGTGACCCGCGCCATCCAAGCACGAATAATAATGCCAAGTATTGCCTACAATCCTTTTACCATTACACAACACCATCGATATTGATTACCGTTATGTTGGCATACCCTCGAGCGTTCTATGGTTGTTGGCCAGACCCTCTCGAGGAGCGTCATCATGATTCGTATCCTCACCATCAAATGAGCCTATATCACTGCTTCACGGCGCAGCTGCTTTCAGGTGAACTTCCATCTAAAAGACAGGAAGCCGTCATCAGGATGCAGCCTTTTCCATACTCGTTTTGTGATATCTCGTCAGCTCGTCTTACCATCACACGAGATCCAGAAATTGTTTTGAAAATTGCATCCTCTTATGCAACACCACCCCGTCAATCAGGTGCACTTGTAAGGACATGCGAATCCTGTTGGCAACATCAAGCAAATGGTCACCTGCCAAGCGACAACATGTAAGCCTTTCTATGTACCGCCACAAGCAAAAGTTGTTCAAATGCTGTTTATGCACCACTTAAATCAGATCTCTGCAGTATTCAGCTTATGCCTGTTCGACTGTTCGCTGGTGTTCGCATACTCGAAGAAGCCCCGTTGGTGCAGTAGGGAACCACAATTCCACGTTCGAAACACCAAACTTCAGTTCTTCAGATCTCCACTCTGAACTCTTGTTTTATGCTTGGAGGTTCATGGGTAGCTATACGTAGGGTTATAAGCAGGGTTTAACTATTCTTTTAACTTTTAACTATATTAGATGACTTAATTACCCCACTTATAACTACCCATGAACCTCCAAGTAAGCCTTGTCTGTATACCCTTACCTATGAAATCTAGCTCCTGGAAAGGGGAGCTATATAGTATCAGTGTCGGGCTGGCCAGACCACTTACGTTTGCCTTGGTGCTTTTTTGGAAAGTGCTATAGCCCGTGAGCAGTTTAGTTATCTACTCTAGGCACTCCATTCGAAAGTCGAGTCGCCGGTTTCCGAAAGGGCGGAACCTTGCTTTGGACGTACACCCTCAACGGCACATTCCTTGTTTCAGGCCCAGCTGTAGCTTGAGGAAATCCTCCTGTCGGGTTCCCTCGGGCAGCACGAGGCTTCTCTTGAGATAGTTTAGGCTATACTACTTTACTATGTTTTCGAAGATTGTAAACCAAAACAATAGACAGAAGAAGCCACAACTACAAGACAGAAAACGCCATGCAGACGAGGACAGTCACGAACACCAGGTCATGTCCCGAAGCCCACCTCTCAGCACGAAGAAAGCACAAACATGAGATCCCAACAGATATCACCAAATACCATCTTCATCCTCGTCCAATTTCCATCCTCATCCTCATTCTTATCCTCATTCTCCTCCTCGCATCATCAACACCGCCATCAACATCACCACCATCACCATCACAATCACCATCATCATCATCATCATCATCATTTAAAACACCAGACATCACCACGGACCAGCGCAGGGATTGGCTGGCAACCTTCTGAGAAGGGTGCTCAGTACGTTTAATGTTGATATTTGCAAGCCTTAGTGACACAAGTGAAGTATTGCAGTGGAAGAAGCAGAATCTGAAAACAGTGGTGTTAGTTACATCGTCATCATCCATAGTCGCCTTTTGTTTCAGTTCGGTGTTACTGCTATGACTTTAGTACTATTGTGGGTCTTGACGTTCTTCGACTGGCAGCACCAGTTTTCCAGCGTGCGCTTTCCGCAGATCTTGTCCTGATTTCTCGGGCTTTGCGTGGCTCAAGCTGCTTGCACCACTCCACTTGCTATCCCGGCATTGCCATCTGGGAGTTTCCGAAAATAAGGGACCCTAATATAGTATCCTAAATAGTAGGATCCTTATTATAAGGACCCCAAAATAAGGTACCCCTAATTTTCGGAACCTCCCATCTCTTCGGATTCGAGAACTACCCGTGTGATCATGGGGACGCTCGGCGAGTTGTCGGAGCTTCGGAGGGAATGATGCGAAGTAAGACGATTATTACTATTACTACTATTATTACTATTACTACTAATTATTACTACTATTACTACTATTACTACTATTGCTAGTATTACTACTATTACTACTATTACTACTATTACTACTATTAATACTATTACTACTATTACTACTATTACTACTATTACTATTATTACTACTATTACTACTATTACTACTATTACTACTATTACTACTATTATTACTATTACTACTATTACTACTATTACTACTATTATTATTATTACTACTATTACTACTATTACTACTATTATTATTATTACTACTATTACTACTATTACTACTATTACTACTA